ACAAAATGTGACTGTTACAAAGAAGTGCTTAACCTTTTGGAACTTGTACTATAAAGACTTACAAGCTTTTCTATTATTCCTAGAAATATAATCCTCTTGATAAATGAAGAATATTTTGAATCAAATAAAACCTTCAATGACTATTTTAGATGTCTGTTAAAATAAATAAGGATTGTTGTTTAGTTACTTTTCTGTGGTTGCTGAGACAAAAATACCTACCTTCTCAAATTAAGGTAGGAAAGGTTTATCAGCTCACAGTTTGTAGAGTTTCAGCTATAATCAGTGAACTACAAGGCAGGATAGTGTGGCGGAGGAGCAACAGTTTATGGCTGTGGAGAACAACAAAAGCACCCACAGCAAAAGGGTGAAGCAAGCCCCTTTTCCTCTCTTGTATTGTATGCAGGCTACTTGCCCTAGAGCAGTTAGAGTGCACACACTGCCAGGCCCAGTACTAGACGGTGAAGCAGCCACAAGCTAGATTGTGCCTCCTCCAAAAAGCCCACCTCATGTGGTAATAGAGTTCTGGGAACATCCAGACACAAATCGGAACAACTGTATGTTAATTAAATTATTTTTAATGTGCTTAATCAAAACAATCACTTGGAAATTGTTAACTTTCTTCTTTTTACAATGTTAAATGTATGATTTTAGAATAAAACTAAAGAACTTTGGTTTTTATGAATGCAAGTTTGCAGTACATAATGATTAGTTTCATTGTGAGGAATTGGTGCATATAACACATCTCAGTTCTTTTTTTCCCTCTTCCCTCCACCCTTTTAAGATGTTTTTCTTTTGGTAGAATCAGATACATACATTTTATTTATTTATGTATTTATAGTTTAGGGAAAGGTCTACAGGGTGTTCAGGGTCTCACTACTAGATCGGACTTGTAGTGATCCGCCCACCTGTTTACAGCCTCCCAAGAGCCACCATACCCAGTCTCAGTTGCTGTCTCAGCGTGCCCTGTGGATGAGGCTGGCGGGGCAGGCCTGGGGGATTGAACCCCTGGCCCCTGCACCTGCTTGCAGGCATTTTAATCTGTTGAGCTATTTGATCAGCCTCACATTTATTTATAAGTCCTTATTTATTTATAAGTCCTAATCAAGTTAATGATCATGAATGTAGATTAACAGCCAGACTAATAGACCAAAAAACATAAAAAAGCACATAAGACACTTATACTAAATTGAAGTATACTTTTAGATACATTGCCCATGCTGGATTGTAATAATGTTTTTCCTACTGTCTCTTATTTTGCACTTTATTAATATATTGTACCTCTCATATAAGAGAAACTGCTGTATTCAAGATTATGTGTCTGATTCACTTCTGTTTTCCTGCAAATGGCTTGAGTTTATCCTTCTTTATGGAAGATTAGTACTCCGTTGTATATACGTATCACGTTTTCTTTACCCATTCATCTATTGATGGACTTACAGGCTGTTTTCATGATTTAGCTATTATGAATTGTGATATGTACACAGCATTGTGACAGTATCTTTAATTCTTTTGGGAAGATATCTAGAAGGGAAGTAGTCAAATGGAATTTCTACTTTTAGATTTTTCAGAGCTCTCCACACTGATTTCCATAGTGATTGTACTGGTTTATATTCCTTCAAACAAAGAAGGGTCCATTTCTCTTGCAGCCTCTCAAGGATTTGTTATTATTTGATTTATTATTGCCAGCCATTCTTTCTGGAGTAAGTCAGAGTCTCACTGTTGTTTTGATTTGTATTTCTTGAATGGCCAGCAACTTTTAACATTTTTTTCATGTATTTATTGGCCATTTGTGCACTTTTTCATCTGAACAAGATTTATTTCAGATGGCCTTGTTACAAGAGTCTTTAAATTTTGAGGAGCATAATGTTTTTGAGTTCTTTATATATTCTAGATATTAGTCTTTTGTCTGAGGAGTATCTTATATATATTGTTTCTCATTCTGTGGGTTGTCTCTGCACTCTAGTTTAATTTTTGCTGCAAAGCTTTTTAATTTGATGTGATCCCATTTGTTGATTCTTGGTATTATTCCTTGTGCAACTAGAGCTGTGTTTAGAAAGTCTTTGCCTGTACATGTGTCTTCAAGAGTTTTACCTGTTTAATCTTCCAGGAGAATAAGTTTTTGTTTTGTTTTGAGATGAACTCTTGCTGTGTAGTTCAGGCTGGCCTTGAGCTCACTTTTGTAAGCCAGGCTGGTTTTGAACTCACAAGCATCCTCCTGCCTTGGTCTACCAAGTGCTGGGATTACAGGTGTGTGCCACCATGCCTGGCATGATATTTCTGTTTTAATATTTAGATCTTTGATTTTTTAAAAAAATATTTATTTATTTTTTAGTTTCATGCATGTTGTGAGATAATGGATGTAAGTGTCAATCTTTGGCATATAGGTAACCACTTCTTCCAGCATTGTTTGGTAAACAGTCTGTCTTTTCTCCAGCAAAAGAATGTGGCCCCCTTGTTAAAAATAAGGTAGCTGAATATGCCTGAGCGTGTTTCTCTACCCTGTACTCTGTTCCATTGATCTCCAAACCTGTTTTTTTTTTCCAATACCATGCTGTTTTTATTATTGTAGCTTTGTAGTACAGTATATAATTTGAAGTTAAGGATTGTGATGCCCACTGCATTGCTTTTTTTGTCTAGAATTGCTTTTGCTGCTCTAGGTCCCTGTGAATTATAGGTTTGCTTTTTCTAGTTCTGTGTAGAATGATATTGTTATTGTTACTGGGTTGGCATTAAATCTATTTAATAGTTTTGAAGGTAAAGCCATTTTCACATTATTGGTTCTGTCTATACAAGAACAGTGGGTGAAATATCTTTGCATTTTCTGTTTCATACTTGAAATCATGGGAAAAGAAAGAGATGGATTTATTCCTGTTTATTAACCAGAAAAATTCTTCACTCAAGAATTTGGGAGGTTTAAATTAAACTCAATAAGCAGAGGACAGAGTAGTAGACCATCTGAGGCATGAATAAAACCACAAGAGAGATCATTTCATATGAACAACTATGAGTTAGAGGTTTTAGAATCTTCTGAGATGGACTTCAAATTGGAAGAGAATAGCTCTGGTGTGTGGGACAATCCTTTATTTTGAGGTGTTTATTCCTTTTGTTTTCTTCATGTTGTGGCTTCCAGCCATCTCTCTTGGCCTGGATGAGCCTTTACTGCATGAATAACAGATTATGTACTTTTTACATTATACATATACTAATTATGTATAACTTAAAAAAAAGTAAGACAGGTGGGAATGATGATGCTGTAAAAAAAAGTTCTGTTTTACAGAATGAGTTGATGAAACAGTGCATGTAAACAGTGTAGTAAAAAATACCTTTTTACATTTCTCTTACACACACACACACACACACACACACACACACACACACATTCTATCCCTGTGTAGGGAACAGACTAAAGGATCATGGGAAATAATAAAGATGTCAGCTATGATTTTAAAATTTCTAGGATTTTGATTAGAAAAAATGTATAAACATCCCTCCAGCTGAAATTGATTAAGCTATACATACGGAAAGATTGTTAAAATTCCACTTACCATATAATCAAGAACATTTGATAAGTACCTGAAAGGAATTATCATTTTAATAATAATAATGTTGACTTTTATCACACATTTGTTGTGTGCCAGGTATTAATCCATGTGCTTGCTAAGTATCAAAATGTTTATCCTTCAACCATCCCGGTAAGGTTGGTATTATAATTTCAACATGGAGAGTCAGTGCAATTCAGTGACTAAGAAGCAAGTCCAAAAATTTACATCTTGTCTTCATCATTACATGAATAATTTGGGCAAGTTATTGAACTTCTTGTGCGTCAGTATTCTTCTTAATAATAACTTAATGCAGTTATGAAGATTACATGTATGCATTTAATACATATTATGAATTTATTTAATATATTTAAACATAATGCCTGTATATGCTAAAGGCTGTAAATGTACTATAGTCAGATCCAAATTATTATTTTAAAATACCTTTCTGCCTATTTTGCTCTGTCAGAGCGAACTCATCTCTATGTGTGTATTAATAGTCCCTAGAGCAGTTAAATCTAACTCATAACCTCAACCTCAATCTTTATATAGTTGATAGACATAGGAAGTATTTAATATGTAGTTTAATGAAATTGATTATGTTTCTATTTATCAAAGCATGTTTTAAAATATTTTGCAGTTTCTGTACAAATTTGGTTTTGGTTGATCTGGTTGGAAAAGATTTCAAGCAGTTTTGCCTTTTTGATTTGTGTGGACTTTACACATATACCTACCTATGTCTAACTACCAATTTTGCCAAAAAATTTTTAAAAATTAGTATACCTCTTACATACTTAAAAGACACCTGAACTGTAAATTTTTCCTTAAACTCAGTTCTATGTTAACATAGAAATAAAGCACACAAAATTTTGTGGTTAACTTTCGAAATACATGTTTTCCTGAAGATCTTCTTTTTCATTTTATTAAAGAGGACAATCTGTAGAAATGAATGCCTTCTTTTCTATACATGAAGTATAGTGTGAGTAGTCACTTTTTGTTGTGAAGAAAATGTGTTATATATATTGATGTACAATATGTCCGTTTTTTTCTGTAGTGTGGACATTCTCTTTGAGAATTTGAAAAACTAGTTGGGTAGATTTTGTTGTTATGTCTAAATAATTCAGCAGATTATATATGTAACTAAGATTATCTAGTATTATTTTAGTTAGGCAGTAAGTTTTGTTTTCAAAGCAACTGTTAGTTATGTAGGCTCTCTAAATGTGTAGCAAGATGCCCAAAGACTGGGAAGGGGATGAAACTTCCGTAGAAAGTGATTAGAAAGATCAAGAAATTGAAGTATTCTTATAGCTTCAATGAAGGAACAGATTGCAATTCATTTATAGATTCTGTGCAACTCCTAACAGTAGACTCCCCAGCCTTCTCTTAGTAAATCCCAGTAGTGACTTTTAGTTTTATACACATTCTGGTATAATATATTACCTTCCATCTCTTTCATTATAGGTATTGAGGAAACAAGAAGCTAAAGCAGAAGAGAATGAGGGAATAATCAAAAATAAACTAAGACAAACTGAAACTGAGAAGAGTCAAGTAAGATACTGAATTCTTTTTTTGGGGGAAGGGTTACTAAGAATCAAAACTCAAGACCTTGTGCTTGCCAGAGAGGTGGTATGCACTGAGCTATATTGTTGGCTAATTATTGAATATTATCTTTCAAATAATAATGTGGTTTCATTTAATAAGATCTGTTGTGAGGTGTTTTTGTTGTTGTGAGCTTTGAAACATTTAATTTCTATGTGTTTATGAAGTTCTTGTAGTTTATTTTGCCATTGATTTCCTATTTCATTGCTGTGTGGTCTAATAACATTCATGGAATAATTTTGATCTCTATACATTTATTTAAGCAGGGTCTATGAACTAGTATGTGGTTTGTTTTATAGAATGTCCTGTGTGCAGCTGAGAAGAATATGTATTCTGATGTTAAAGGGTAGAACACTCTGTAGACACCTACTAAATATATTTGTTAAAAACTTTGGTTCTTTTTTTAATATTTTAGTGTTGATTTTTTTTGTCTAGCTGATATATATGACAGAATTGAGGCCCCCATTACAGTTGTATTAGTGGCCATTTGATTTTTAATGTTGATTAACATATTTGTTTTATATAGTTGGGTGCACTCGTATTTGGTGAAAATGTATTTATTGTTATTTCCTCCTTTAGGATTGTTCCCTTTACAAGGATGCAGTGACCTTTCTTTTGATCACTCTTTGCTTGAAATTCACTTTGTCTGCAAATAGAATATCTACTTTTGCTTCTTGTGTTTCTGGATATTTGTTATATGGAAGAATGTTTTCCATCCTTTGGCTTTCACTGTATGAATTTCTTTTTGAATTAAATGTGCTTCTTGTATGCAACACATATTGTTGGTTGTTGCTTCTTGATCTATTCTGCCAGTCTCTTTTTTTAAAAAATGTATTTAGTACAGGGTCTATAAGGTCTCACTGTGCAGATTGGCCTCTTAGTGATCCTCCTGTTTTTAGTTCCCCAAGGACTGGGATTATAGGTGTGCACCGCCACACCCAGTCTCTTTCGCCATCTCTGGGCGCCCTGGGAGTGGGGCTGGCATGGATTGAACCCTGGTCCCTGCATTTTCCTAAGCAGGTCCTTTAATCTGTTGAGCTATCTGGTTGGCCCTCTAGTCTCTTTCTTTTTTTTTCTTTTTCTTTTTTTAAGTAATTTATTCAAATCTCAACTTACTTGAAGAATCATTTAAAATCAGGTCACAAGTAATACTTACTGAAATATAATTTGGTGTAAATACAATACAGTGTCCAAAATTTTAATCAAATTTTTGTCATGAGATATAATATATATTTATTTATTTTATTAATTTTATTGAGAAACAGTGAGACAGTTTCAAAACAGGTTAGTAGGACAGTTTCAATAATTAATACATTCATATTGTTGTCTTCATAATGGTTATTGTACTATTATGGACTACAGGACTATATTGTATTATTTTGCTGAATTCATGCACCTACAATATTTAAATGGCAATGGAATACCCATCTCTGACAAAACTGAACAAAAAAATGGAAATATAAATGATCATTTTGTATCTGTAGATACAAAATAGTTAGATAGCTACTTTATCTTAATTCAGTGAGAAGAAAGATTTGTACTAATAGTGTTTGGACAGGATATCATGTCTGCATCTTGTACTATGGATAATCTCTTTTGATTGGTGAATGGAAACCATTTACATTGATGGTTATAACTGATGTTTTGTGACTTATCCTTGTCATGTTATTTTTCTGTTTTTGGTTGTCTTATTTTCTCCATGTAATTTTTTACCTTTCTTGGTGTATTCTTTCTGTTGAAATTTATGGAGTTGTAATTCTCTCTTTCTAGAATGTACTTCAGAATGTCTTGGTGTGATGGTTTGGTCTTCATGAATTTTTTTTCAAGGTTTCTTTTGCATGGAAAACTTTTATTTCTCCATTAACTTTGAAAAATAGTTTTTCAGAGTACATAATTGGATTGGAGGTTGTTTTCTTTTAGGGCCTGAAATATTTCACAGCAAGCTCTTCTTGACTTGAGGGTTTATATGGAGAAGTCTGTTGTGATTCTTTTGGGCTTTCCTTTATAGGTAATTTGTTTCTTTTCTGTATCAGCTCTTAATATTCTGTTTTTATGTTGAATATCTTGAATGTTGACTGTTGTATGCCTTACTGTTGATTTTTTTGATAAAGGCCAATTGAAGCTCTTTATGCCTCCCTTATATGTATGTCAAATCTTTTTTTCTAACAAATTTTCTACCAATGTGTCTGTAATCAGGTTTTTTTTTTTTAATGTCCTTTGTGCTGGCTTCTACCTTTTCATTGACTTCAGTCAATCATATGTTATTCTTCTTTGCATTATCTAGCAGTTGCCAGATTGTTTTCTCATGGTCCTTGGGTATTTCTAAATTTTTATGTTCATAATCACTAACTTTAATCATGTCTTCTTTATCTGAGATTCTTCCTCACATTGGATCATTTTTCTGTGTATACTTTCAATGGTATCTTTAATGTGTGGATATCTGTTTGAATTTGTTTCATGGATTCCATTTTTTTCCTATGGTGAGCATTCAAAGTTTTCATCAAGTTCCCTAAGATCCTCTATGTTTAAAAATCTGTATCTTCTCATGAGTCACTAAATATGTCTTTGATAATGGTCACCACCTCTGTAGTTATCTGGAAAATTATTACTCATTTGATCTTTTCTAGAGCTTTGCTCATTTGTACTTCTGCTATTACCACTTCAGAGAGGCCAGGTGGGTGGCTTTAGGATTGTTCCATCACATTTTCTCCCGGGTTTAACCTTTGAGGAGGCTGCATGTCTGGGTATGTATCATGTTTAAGTGTCTTTTCATTTTTCTTTTTCTTCTTTTCATTTTTCTTTTTATTTCGTAGTTTAATTTCTGGTTGATACTTATAAATTTCCTATAATGAACAGATTTATTGCTAGTATTTTCAATCCTTAGGAAATGACTACTTCACAGAGTTGTCTTCCAAGTGTAACTGGATTTTGGATTTTGAGTATGTTGCAAGATCTTATCTCCTTAATTTTTTGCAAATGGGAAGCTGCTGCCTACTTAGCCCAGCCCCTGTTTCTTTGGAACTTCCTATAGTATTTTTTGTGACCTTTAGGCAATTTCAATCTTTAATTGTTTTTATTTTAAAAAGAATAATAAACACCAATAAAAACAATACAGAATTTCAAAATAAGATGATAGGTAATTAACAGTAGTCAGCATGTTGCATATTATTGTATGCCAGGAAAAACAACTGGTTTGAATAAGTATGTCACTTTCCTAAAGTGATACCATCAGTAATTACAACAGTATGAAAAATAGCCTAGAAAGTGACAAACTGAGGTGACTATTAATATGTCACCTTTAACTGTATGCACTAGATTGTGATATGAAACAAAATGTAAAATGAAACAGAAAGTTGCATGCAGTAAATAAGCCGTCAATATGCCAATTTTACCATGAGGGGGGAAAATTTAAAAGGGGTTAGGTGAGAAAATAGAGAAATAGAACAAGAGGAAGAGATTAGAAACAAGGCTAAAGGACAAAGGAAGATTATGCAAACTTTGGGAAATGACTGAAGAGAACAGGGCAAGAGAGGAGAAATAAAAACAAGAACAGAATAGAACAAAACAACTACTACAGAAAACTAGAAACCATGTTCACACATAAAAATAAGAACAAAAAATGAAAAAAAAATAAGAAAAGAGGGAAAGGAAAAAAGAATAAGAAAAAAAAAAGCCCACTTCAAGATGTATCTCTCTGTCACTCGTAGACAATGTGGGTAGGCAGAGTCCAAGTCCATGTGGATTTAGCCAGTGTGCCAGCAGTTGCTTTCCATTGGGCTAGTGGATTACTACAGCGAGCCTGCCTGTTTGTTTCCAAAGTTTAGGCTGGTTTCTGGCCACGAGGCTGGAATCAGATGTGTTCAGCCTGTAGCAGTTGGTGTGACTCCAAATGACTTGGACTCCACTGGGGCCCTCCAGATGGAGCCAGAAGTTGCTCTGAGTTCCAAGCTCAATTAGCCGCCTCCATGATGACTCTGACCGTTCTCCTTCTTCTCCGGGATGTCTGAGCCCAAATAGCTCACCAGCCACTGCACTCCACTGTGTCCACTGCTCTTTGCCACTGCGTTTCTCTGTGGAGTCCTCTGGGGTTGCCAACAGTCATTATTTGTCTGCATATTCTACTCTCTCTCCCACACAGTGAGACTGGGCTTGGCAAAAGTGCCACCTGCAGCCTTCTCCTTTATTGAGCTTTCTTTCTTGACTCTCCCTGTAGGCTTCAGTTTTTGCTTCAGATCCTCCCTTGGTGTCAGGGACCCACTTCTCTCATTTTTCTCTTCCTCATGTTGCTATATTCCAGTGTCTGGACACCAGAGGCTCTTTCTTTCCTGCTCATCATTGTCTGCCTTCCCAAAAGTCTCAAGAGTCTTGAAACATGTGCCTGTGGTTATTTACTAGATCAAACAAAAGCTATGTTTTGATGTTAGTTTGGTTTGATGGCTACATGCACAGATTATTTGCCACTTGGTTATCTCTGGCTACTCTCCTTTTTCTGACACAAATTAAACTTTCTTTGCAGTTAAAGGACTTGATTTTTTGCAGTATTAAAAAAGACATTGTTAGAAGACTGTCTGTTTTGGATATATATTTATTTTCTTACAGAAGATAGGTATTATTAATAGTTTAGTTCTGTAAATATCCTCTCTGCTCATTGTAAATTTAAGAATCCTTGACATATATTTATGTCTTTAAATACATACAGTGCAGTCCAGCACATTAGAGTTAGGAAGGATTTCAGAAACCAAACAATCCTTCCTAATTTTTTATATGCATAGATTGAAGGGCGATCCCACGGAAAGGTACCATGGAGTAAAAATTTGCTGCTGTTCTTGACTTCATTTTTTTTTTTTTTTTTTAACTTTCTGTATTTTGTTTCACCAACCGTGTAAATTTACATAATGCTTCTCTGCTGCCTTGATGTGGAGCCAGGTGTATCAGGTTGCCAGGTCTGCTTCTGGGAGTTGAGACTGCTGATTTTACATGGGGATTATACCCATTATAGGCTTTGCTTTACTTTTAAAAAATACAACACTTTTGAGCCACGTGTACAGTTTTCTGTAAAAAATATTTAACTTGGTTAAAAAGTCATTTTGTACCATTTATAAATTCATAGGATCTTTCAAAACAAAAGGGGTTGAGAAGTCCCGTGCACCTTTTGCTTGGTTTCCTTTAATGGTAATATTTTGCATAATTGCCATTCAGGATCAAAACTCGGAAATTGACATTGGCAAATTCACAGAATTTATGCAGATTTTGCCAGTTCTACGTGTGCTTGTTTTCTGAATGTGCATGCGTATGTAGTTCAGGTCACCTTTATCTCATGGTAGGTTACTTTGCCCCCGTCAACCAGCAGAGCTGTTCTGTTGCTGTGGTGCTCTTTTGTTCCCCTTCAGAGGCACATCTACCACATGTGCAGATTTTAAAGATTAATATATATGCAGAAATTTGTTTAAATGCAATTATTCAAGATAACTATTAAAAACCTTAGCACATAAAAACATCTTAAAATAGCTTAGTGATTTTATAAAACAATTTTATTGTTACAAAATGCAAACATTTTACATTTTGTAAAATACGGCATATGGAAGCTCTAAACTTTGAGCAAATATGCGGCTCATGTTATATTTTTCAACTTGAAGTGAAGTAGACATATGTAGACTTTTTAAGGTGTTTACTCAAAGCTATATTTTTCTTGGATGTTGAAGTAGTGACAATATTATTATTAATCTAAATGTCTTATTTGAAACCTGGAAATTTAAAAGTTTTACAAATATTTTATGAATATTAGAACTATAAGAAATAACCAGTTAGATTAAATGTACTTTAAGCATTAGATCTCTGCAGTGTTTTTCTAATTTAGTTCATTTGTCACTACATTGTCTCCTTTAAAGGAAAAACAGTTGCTTTAGAATTTAGAAATGTTTTTGAACTGAAGGGAATCCCAGGAGACTAATGTAAAATCTTTAGTTTAGAGATGCATTGAGGCTCAAGAGATTCAAATATGAGTACAACTGAGATGGAACTGACCAGATCTCAGATCTCTAGGAGGCTTGGTGTATTATATTTTATGTGATGAAATTAAAGTTATTTAATTGGAGTATTTCTACATGTCTATTGAGATTCATCTTTTCATATTGGTTGTAAATATTTCCTGAAAAATTTTCTGCTGCTTTTTTTTAATCTTATGCCATATTGCCACTATTTTGTCCGTTGGGACACAATTTAAATTGTTTTTCTGATCAATTGGACTTTAAAAAGAACTCCTTTGTTGAACCTCTAGCTTGAACAGGAGTTGGAGCTATCTCGCCGGCTGTTGAATCAGTCAGAAGGCAGCAGAGAAGTCCTTTTGCATCAGGTAAGTCTATTGCAGATACGAAAGTCTGCTTTTACATCAGATCAGGTTGTAGTCTTACTCTCTCTTAACTGTCTTTGTGAAATGAAAAGGAAACTAGGGCTAGAAATGTTTTCCCCTAAGGAACTTAAGTTAGCACATATTAGCAAAAGATGATTCAGGAAAGGCGTACACAGAACACCAGTCCAAGTTCCTACTGTGACTATGTATCTTGATGATTGCTGCTCCAGCTTACTACTTATCTCTCTTAGCACGGGCAGTGTAAAAGTAAGATTGAATATGTAAGATAAAATTTTCCCAGGAACTTAATTTTATTCAAGGAGGCAGTGGAGAATAAAGAAGAAGCTAAAATACATAAAACAGTCCTTTTCACATTCAAATTACTTTGACTACATCATTGCCTTTTGAACACGTTTTAAAGATGCTACCTAGCCCCTTTTAAGCAAAGGTAGAATATAATATTTAAGGGTAATGTGTTGAAGCCCTTGAACCTGTGATGGGAATTTGGGGCATCCAGGAACTTTAGCCATCTTACATACATTGCATGACGGTTTATGGGTTTTTATCTGCCTCTTTGTGTGTAATACAAAGCACAGTTGTGCCTTCTGTTTTGAGATGCGTGTTGCATAACTCACCCACATAATGTGCTCTGTAGGCAGCGATGTCAGGCTTCATAGATGTTAGGAAGGAATTTAGCATTTTGACAATTGCTGCTGAAAATACACCATAGCACCTGTTTTGTAAAACCTTTAAAAATGTTCATTGACTTTGTTCTGCTGCCAGTGGGTCACATGGAATAAATGTTGGCAGAATTCAGCATTTTTTTGAAAGTTATATTTGTAGTCAATTCTATTCTGTGTTTTTGGAATTCTTGTGTGTAATGGCTAATGCCAGTTTTTGAAGCAAGACATTGCTTTTTCAGGGTGTCACCATGACAAACTGAATCTTTTTGCCACGGCTAACTTATTTATGGTCATTGTTATCTCACAGTCAATTTGCTATTTTTTGAGGACTATAAAAATGAATAAAACATCCTGATTTCAAAAGACTGTACTTTATTCAATAGCATCTATTGCCTATTTGTTTTTAAGTATTTTGATATCAAAATATGGCAAACCATTATCACTTTGCTTAAGTATAACAACCAACAACCATGTTTACAGGAAAGAAAATAGGTGAAAAATAGAAAACCAAAAATATGTAATGTTTGAGGTGATTTGGGCTGATAGTAATGGAGTGGACTGGGGTCATAACGAGGGATTTTAAAAGTCTGGGTTGGCCTGAGGATGCGTGTCAGTGGTAGAGTATTGGCTTAGTACTGGCTTAGTATATGCTGGTTCTGGGGTCCAATGTCCAGAACCCACAAAATAAAACAAAGTGGTGTCAAATTCTGTCACTGTTGTTGTAAAGAAGGAAAAGACACTCTGTACATGGAAGAATGAAAAAACTGAGCAGGGTAGCCCGGCTAGGTATGTTCCCCAAAGAGATCTCATATTTCAGTAGTAGATGCATTGTTCATGTTTATAGTAACCCAGCTCCTAATAGCTAAGTCTGGGAAGCAGGATATATGCCCGTCAAAAGATGAGTGGACACCCATAATGGGACGTATATGCACAATAAAGCGTTCCTCAGCCATAAAAAATTTATTTGAATCATTTGTAGGAAATCTGTGCATCGTGAAACTATAATGTTACATGAAAAAATCAGACACACAGCACACATATTATGCATTTTTCTTATAGAAAAATTATGCATCCTTCTTATAGAAGAAATCCAAAATAAAGAGCAAATTTAAACCAGAGATAATATAAAATAGGACAATAGATCCTTTACAAACAGAAAGGGGAACTAGAGCTGGGGAAGGAGGAGAGAAGGGGAAGTAAAAAGAACTATAGATATGTGTACAGACTCCCCAAGGTGATTGTGGTCATTGGGTTCAGCAAACGTACTAAAAAACAAACAAACAAACAAACAAACAAACAAGAGCAAGAGGCCGTCCCACTATGTCTGGAGCAAGGATTGACTTGGTTACAGCTTTTGTCTGTGGCAGTCCATAGGATGTGAATGTTTTTCCTCCAGAAAAATAATTTACAGTATTTCTCCTGCTTTTGAAACCTGATAACACTTTGATTTTTTACTAAATACATTTAGGTAGAAGAGCTGCGTACACAACTTACAAAAGCAGATGGTGATCAGAAGGGTTTACAACATCAAGTCTCCCAGATTTCCAAGCAGCAATCAAGCTATCAGGATGAACTCGGAGATGACTGGAGGTTTAGGAGAGGTATTGTTACGATTTTTAAATGTGAGGGTCTTTCATTCTCTGAATTCATTCCTTATGCTTTGCTCATGTCATCCTATTTCTTGATCTACTATAAAATTCCAACAGGTTGGTCATCATTTAACATCCAGGTATAATTTTTTTTCTTTATTTCTAAACTTGTTTTAGTTTTTAGACTGGCTTACCTCATGGGGCTTTCTTTGAGAGTGTGCAAAGGTAAAAATGGAAGTTTCTCCATTTTCTAATTCCTGTGTAAGCGTGTGTATGTGTACTTGATACTTTAATTGTAAATGTGTTTATCTGTTTTTTATGTATGAACAAGTAAACGTAAGAGCCTGTCTTTCTTTATCATCTGGAGGTTTTGTGACAAACTCTCGGAATTGGCCGTGAGCCATATTAGCCAGATTTATTTTTAGTGTGGGTTAGGAGGACTATATTTGTATAGCTTCTCCATGGAGATATTGTTTTAGATAGTGTAATTTGATGACTGGTTGCTTTTTTCTTTTTTGAAAGTTCAAATTTAACAAAAATAATGATATTTACATTTTAAAATGGTTTCTAGCAGGCAAGTTCAGGTTGCTTAGCTTGAAACTTATTCTGTTACTGAGGCTTTCTATTCAAATGAACAAAATACTGGAGAACTCTGTTTTCCTAAGACTGACTCTGTGGCTCTGGCTTGTGCCGTGTACGCGCCGTAGCACTCGGTTACACCTCTAGAGCCTGGAGAAACTCTGTAAGCATTGATGTACAGCTAAATCCAGGGAAGTTAAATCTTTTCCCAACAATACGGTGTGTTGCGTTACGTAGCGGTTCCATATTACCAGGCAAATCTTCAGTGAACGTCAATTTTTTCAAAGATACCCTGATGTATTTGTGATATCGTAATTTAAATACCATTTGACATCGAATATGGCCCATTTTTAAAGTAAAATTTGTAGCTGTTAGGTTATTTAGTTTTCATAAAGTTGGACTAGGAGTTCTCCTTTTGTTGGGAAAGTTTTGTGCCACATTTGTTATATTTTGATACCTCATAAAAATCTAGTTGTGTTACCTTTGAGGATTAGAGAAATCTAACTTTTCTTAATTACTTATCAAGGTTTTAGAAAGTCTGCCTGGGGTTTCTTTTATCATGTGATAATGAACAGTTCTAAATGTTTTCATCTGTATAAAATACTTGCAGTATTTAAGGATAATTTTACCAAAGAAATCATAGTGATTGAACACTTTAATTGCTGTTTGCTCCTCTGCTTGTTATAAAATGGGTTCTACCTTTGCTTCTAGAATTAGTTTTCCTTGGGCTCCTCAGTCAAAGGCAAGGAATTTTTTCACTACTTACAAGGGTAATTGAAAGTATGGTAAATATTTAAATTAAAGATTTACTACAGTAAATTACACTTTGCCACTAATCCTCCTTAAAATAATCTATCATTCTTGCCACTCTCAGAAATAGTTCTGGAAATTCTCTTTTCTGAATGTGTTTACAAAATGTTTGAAAGATGGTGACTACTGCTCCTGAGTGCCATACGGAAGAGAGGCTGGCTCACTGAGCACCCTCGACTCCACCTTACTCATTGGATCTCGTGCTACATAACTTCTGGCTCTTCCCCAGAGCCAGTATGAGTATGCAAGGTACACATTTTGAGTTGAATCAGGACACTGCTGCAGCTAGGATAGCAGAACTAAAAATACAGAACCAAGACTTCCAGAATGGTTTCAGAAAGGGGCAAGATGAGTATTTTGAGGAGAATTAATAGCAATGTGTCTTTTTCTGTAACAAGTTTTTAGAACTACGAACATGAATTGTTTTTTATATCACACCTTATATTTGTTTCCTGCTTATTTTCTCCAGAGAGCAAGAAAGTGGGAGTAAGACAACAAAGGGGACAGGGAGTGTCAAGGGAGGGAGAGAATGAGAGAATGCCAAAGAGCCAGCAGATTTTTTATAACAGAGCCACTTCCATGGTAACTAATGTACTCGTACAATTATGGCATCAATTAGTCCATGAGGTGGAGCCCTCTTACATAATCACCTTTCAGAATACCACATTTTTAGTATTATTACAGCTTCAAACTTCTGTTTATAGGGAACACTGAAATCAGAGCGCCTAAGTTTGTTCTTCTTCAAACTTAAGCTCGTAACTGCCGCCCTATGCTTAGGTTTTCTCTAAAATGCAATAGGAGATAATTGGATGTGCAATGAATGTGTAATATTTATTTATATTTTAAATGTGAACATATTTGCAATTTTGCTAAGATTTTCATTTCATGTTGTCTTAGTTGTTTTTCTTATTGCTGAGACAAATTTCGCAATGCCTAAAGTTAAAGGTAGAAAGGCTTATTTAGCTCACAGTTTGTAGAGGTTTCAGTCCATAATTGGCTGGCTCCAAGGCAGGCTGGTATGGCTGAAGAGAAATAGTTCATGGCAGGCAGAAAGTAGCAAAGCAGTAAGGGACAAAGTGCTTTCCGTCCCTTATATCTTAGTCTACTTAGGGTGGGGAGCACTCATACCTTTAATCCCAGGGCCCTTGATCCTAGCATTGCACTATGAATCAGTTTCAGTGACACAGTCTAAAAAGCCATAACATCTGTACTATATGTATATATATTTATCTGTACTAATATTTTATGTTTGTGAAATATATACAATATTTTTTTTGGAGCAGAATATATTTATTGAGAGAAAGAAAGCTCCTGTCCAGAGAGAGGGACAGGGGCGGGGGGGCTGAGCGGGTAGATCCCCCCTGAAATATATACAATGTCTCTATACCAAGTGTACAGTTTTCCTAAAGCATATATATGTATGTGTGTATATATATATGCATATATGTGTACATTTTTAACACCCTATTGTACAAATATGTTTTTTCAGGTCAGAGACCTAATAGGGCTGGGGGAAGTAGGGTCTATGGGCTAAATCCAGCCTGCTATTTGCTTTGATTAATGAACTTTTCAAAACATAGCTATTATTATTCATTTACTCACTATTTAGGTTACTTCTGCAATACAGTAGCAGAATTGCATAACTGTGGCAGAGAGCAGCAGATGGATAAAATACCTGACCCTTTAGAGAGAATGTTTGCTAACCCTTGGTCTTTAGGGTAAAATCCAAGTTTCCTAGCAATCATAGTCTTCCTGCTACCTCTCTCCCCACCCTCATATGATGTCTTAGCTGTGTAGAGCAGCTGACTCTGTTTACAGTTACCTGAATATTAAATCCAGTCTTGCACTCTATATTTTATAGTATTTCTTTTCTTAAAATAACAGCTCAGCCCCATGCTTTTGCTTGTTGAAATTTTTGTATTCATTCTTAAAATGTAATTCAGTCCCTAACTTTTCCTACCCTAATTATTCACTCTAGAGTTAATCACAGTGTTCTGTACTGTTTCTCCATAATGTTCTTGTATCTGTCAGCACTTGTTTCATGCTATTGAAAAGCTTGTGTGTCTTTCATTCCAAAACGTACAGTCTTGAACACTTTAATATTTCTGAAGTTGGAATGTATTTTATGAATGATGTGTAAATTTGAATTGATAGTTTTGTCTTCAGTCTTTTCCCTCCTGCAAGGGAGTGCTGGAATCATGGTACTTTTGAATTGATAGTATAAATTACAGTTGCTGACATTTTGGAGTAAAGGAATTACTTTATTATGTGTCTTATGTGTGATCTTGTACTGCAGGATCACTGAAGATGTGTTTTTATACTTATCTTTACATTGGAGGAATATGCTATTACAGAGCCTGTGCATCACAGAGCAAATATTTTCTGTTGAATTAATTTCTAAGTCAGTTTATATTGTTAAGTATTACAGTTCTAGATAAGTCTTAAAATTACTAAAAGTAGCAATCTTGTAGTCCAACATGTTCAAATACTTAGTAGTATCATTTGTTGTTTCTGTTGCAAAAAAAGGATTTATTTCATTGTGTAAGCTTCAGTAACTTTAGGTAATATAATAGCTTTTTTGGTAATTCTTTCAGTATTTTTGTTTAAAAGTTAAGTGGTAGAGGTGGAGAAAATTAAAATTTGTAGGATTTTCTTGAATAAATTATGCTAGAAACTAGATAACATTTAAAAATTTTATACCAAAATAGAATAATATTGAATGACATAGTAATGTATGTGTCTTTGAAAACTGTTTGATAGTAGGCTGGCAAAGTCTGAAACGTCCTGAAGGGAAGTGTGAGTAGGTGGGTTGCCTTAGCTAGAATATTAAAATACCAGGGCTTCGTACCATTTGAAAGTGCATTCTTCGGAGTGACCATTGAGCTCTGCGTTTCCTCTTTGAAGGAGTAGAACGGGAGAAGCGGGATCTGGAGAAGCACGTGTCAGACTTGAAGGCGCAGCTGAACTTCAGCGCAATGGCGTCGGAGTTGGAGGAAGTGAAGCGGTGCATGGCGCGGAAGGACAAGGAGAAAGCCAGCTTGGCAGCACAGATAGAGGTGACTTGGCTGTTTTCACACTGTGTGTGAGGGACTACAATTTGATTCTGTGCGATTATTTAATGAAAGTTTAATATAAAGATGTCTTGCGATCTTTGGTTATGGATAATATAAAGTTATGGTAATGACTATATAGATATTTGTATGGATTCATTTTTCTTTCATTTGGGACCTCAAAGCAAGGAATCTGGATATTTTTCCTTTAATATTTCATAGTGAAATCTTACATTGTTATTAAACTTAAAGATATTTTGTTCAGATAGCAACTGAGCCCTTTCTATAGACAAAGTGACTTTCTTTGAGCAGTGAATTATCATTTATTTTGGGGGTCAGTCTGGTGGAAAGAAATTAACTGGTGCTTTTTTCTTTGGAATTCTATAGGTTTTCAGATCTATAGAATCTGAAAAAAGGTAGAGTTTTTTCAGATTCTATAGATCTGTTCTGCAAAAGGTAGAGTTGTGAGGCCCTCCATTAATTAGGTGTGCATAGTACTCAGGGATGTTGTGGTAACCATGAATGAAGTACTACTAGGCATTTGCTGTTTCCTGCTTCTCTTTTATGTAGCATAAATGAGGTAATTATGAGAATATATTAAAAATCAAAGGAAAGGACTTCATACAAGGAAATAAATTAATTGTAATTACAATTATGTAAATTTACCAAACATGGATGACACTTGGAAATAGATGTGTATCACTTGTATCTGCTTTTAGTGCAGTTGTGTTCTGATTGTAAAAAATTGCTGCATTTGAAGAATTTTCAAAATTATAACAATAGGTATTAAAATCGGTGTTGACAATACTTAACTTTATATAACCCAAAGAAAATATTTGATGAAAGGCCAGCCACATAGCTCAGCGGACTAAAGGGCCTGCTTTGGCAGACCACAGCCAGGGTGTGATCCCCGGTATGCCATGCCAGCCCCACCCCTGGGGCACGCTGAGACAGCTATTGAGGCTGGGCATGGTGGTGCGTGCCTGTAATCCCAGTGCTTGGGAGGCTGAAAACAGGAGAATCACTCTGAGTCCTATCTATATAGTGAGGCCCTGTACACCCTGTAGACTCTGTCCTAAATTCATAAAATAAATAAGTAAATAAATAAATAAATAAATAAATAAATTTGATGTTACTCTAGTTTCTCTTTCATCTTATTAGCATGTCAATCTGTTAGATTTTGCTCATGACTCAGATAGTATAATGAAATATTGACATACTCTTTACAAACATTCTATATGTTTCTTACCAGAAATAGTCTCTCAACAGTGGAAATTATATGACTTTCAAGTTTGCATCATGGGTATTATTTTAACTTTGGATCCCGCTGATGAAAATGCTGAGTCTGGCTGTGGTGGCACATGCCTGTAATCCCAGTGCTGGGGAGGTTGAAAATAGGAGGATCACTATAAATCCAAGCTGCATAGTGAGATGCTGTTTAAAAAAACAAAACAAGAAAAAAAGCAGAAAAAAAAAAAGAAAATGCTAAAATATCTTGCTGATGTTAACTATTTTAAAAAATGTTGGTAATCAGTGAAAGTTAGAAAAGGCCCTCTTTCCTTGTTATTATTTTAAGCACATGGTAGTCTTCCCTTCCTCTCTCTTCTTTTTCTCTCTTTCCTGTGGTTTCTTTTGATTTACTATTTGTAGTATAAATTAGAAAAAAATTCTTAAATACCTCAGTATTAAAAATTTTGCTCAGGGGCTGAGGAGATAGCACCTGCCTGGCAAGTGCAAGGATCCAGGCTTGGTCCCTGGTATACGTGCTGTGCTGGCCCTGCCCGGGATCCAAAACCACTGAAGCCAGGCATGGTTACAGGTTACACCTGTAATCCCAGTGCTGGGCAGGCTGAGATAAAAGGATCACTACGAGTCCTAGCTGCTTAGTGAGACCCTGTACCAAATACATAAATTAAAGCAATTTTTTTTTTTCCCTCAGAGGCTGGGGATATAGCTCAGCAGCTTAAGCACCTGCCTGGCAAGCATAAAGTCCTGACTTCACACCCTGGTTTAAAAAACAAAAAATTGCTCAAAGTAGCCTAGCCTGGCTTTCCTCTGTCCTAACTTTAATAGTTCTTTTTTTTTTTTGCAGAACCAGAGATTGAACTCAGGCCCTTGCGCTTACCAGACAGGCACTTACTCTACTGAGCCATCTCCCTAGACCCGCTAATAGTTCTTAATAGTGAGTTTTCACATAGATTAGAAGTGTTTGAATTATTTGGATTAGTTTTGGTGGTTGTGTTCAGTTTGTATGTAGAAGGGAGGCGGACAGGGTTTTTACTCACACATATGGTACTATGACTTCTGGTATGTGCCAGGCACTGTCCTTGGTGCTAGCAGCGACAGCAGTCAATAGAAACTCCCTGCTTGTATCTGTTGCACCTGACATTCTAAGGCAGAGAAAGTTCTTTGCGTTTATCTTGCTCTGAAGGACTAATTTATTTTGAAGGATGAAAAGTTTTTCTTCTCAGTTGTTGAAAACTACATGACAAAAAGACAGTGTTCGGTCCTGGGGAACATTATCAGTTTTAGTTTTTCAGATTTTATTTTAAATAAAATAGTCAATTTAAATTTCTATCATTTGTTTTAGGTGTAGTAACAATTCTTTTTTGTTTTATGGAAAAAGTTAAATCAGAATTTCATAACACAATAGTAGGAGAATAATAAGAGTTAGTACATTGCATATTGTCATTTTCAAAGTACTCACAATATGAGCTATGGGAATAAAAAATTCTCCCAGTGATATTAGCATGAACTTTCCTTATCAACGAACTAAGAGACTCTAATAGCATAGCTAACTTGCATTGTTCTCCCTTTTCCCTTCCTTCCTTTCCCCTTTCCCCATCCTAGTTCTCTTTTTCCTTTTACACAATTTCTTCCCTTTTCACAATATCTGTTGTACATTTTAGACCTTATCTCACACCAGGGAGTCAGTGCGATGTTTACACATCTGAATCTAATTTATCTTACTGCCTCAAGTTTATCCTTCTTTGTGACTGGGTAGTACTCTATTGTATAAAAAGACCACATCTATTTTATCTATTCCTTGGTTGATGGACATTTGGGTTGTTTCCAAGATTTAGCTATTACAGATTATGCTGCTGTAAACATGGGTGCACATATATCACTATTGTAATTCTTCTGGGAAGATATCCAGAAGGCAAATGGCTGGGTCAAATGGGACCTCTAATCCTAGCTTTTTGAGGAGTCTTCTTACTGATTTTCACAGTGTTTGTTTTTCCCCAGTATTTCAGCATGTACCATGTGCTTAATGAGTACTTGTTGACCGTGATAATATATTACAGAAACATGTTATAATGCAGCAGTAAGCAGAAACACCAAAATGACCCCCAGGATTTGGAGGCAGATTTTATTATGTTGATAAGCACTGATTGGGGTCATTCCCAGACTATAAGGCCCTGATCTTTGGTGGTCTAGGGTCTATATTGAATATATAAGAAGTAGGAAGTACGGAGCCAGAACAGCTCATCAACTGAGTGTTGGTTCATACAGTGAGCATCATAGTGACTAACTGTATATCGCAGTGACCAGCTATTTCTCAGAGACAGGAGCTGCTGGGTCTGGAACAGGAACTATTATCTGGACAACTAAGAAACTGAAATATACCACATGGTGGGGTATTTCTGCTATATTTCCCCCTCTTTTAGTTCCCTGGCAAATCTTTGCTGGGTGTATTACATGTGATCTTCTGAGACAAGGCCCCCCTAGAAGCACTGACTTTAGGGTTGTCAGTGATTCTAGAATGAGCTCTAGCCAAGGTCTTCAAGATTGACTTACCACAGTTTTTCCCTAAATTACAGTTTAGGAGACATAATTTAAGGTCTGTTTGTTCTGTAACATTCCTCTGGGAAGGCAGTTACTCTAACTCAGGGGTGTCCATTCTGTCTTGTACATGCATCAGGTCTTGGTCAAGTGTTTGATTGATTGTTCTGTTCTCTTGAGGCAGCCATCCATAGAGTTTAAGGCAAAAAAAGCACAGCTAACAGGGTGCAGGGAAGCAAGGACTGGGGTAAGTGGAATTTGGGTCATTTAACAAAACCACAGGTAGCGGTGGGGGCTGGGAAGCAAGGACTTGGATAAACTGCCTGAAAAGACACAAAAATCAAGGGGAATAAGTAAGTAGCAATGCTCTGAATGATGTCTTCAGGCTTCAGTTGTGCATGCCTTGTCTCTTCAGAGTGAGTCTCCGAGGAGCTGTCCAGGTAAATTTTTCATCAGAACTATGGCTGGGTTTCTGAAACTTGTAGAGGTAGTTAATAAGCACCTGTGTTACATGTGTGTGCAGGAACGTACACAGATATAGCTGGTCTTTTAACTGGTTTTAATCTGTATGTAGTTTTTATTTGATCTATTTTTTAGTTACCTCTGCTGAAAATGCAGGCCTCTTGTTGCTGCCAGTAATCAAGGGTAGGCCCATCTAGGAATGATTTTTTTTTTTTTTTTTTTTTTTTTTTTTTTTTCTTTTCTTTTCTTTCTTTCTTTTCTTTCTTTTTTTTTTTTTTTTTTTTTTTTTTTAACTACAGAGCACTACAAACACTTCTCTGTACAGGTGGAGATTGGGAGGTTGGGGCCAGTAACACAGATGCTGAAGCCTGAGCTAGCTGTAGTGGTACGGGTGCCAGCGCAGTGACTTGAGCTCATAGGACAAATGGTAAGGTCAGGTCTGGCTCTGGTCTTTCGGGAGTACTGGGTTTTTAGTCAGTTGGGCCCTTACCTGTGATTCCACAGTGACTGACACATGGTGTAACAGAGGCTGCTATACACTCGTCTTAGCTATTTTGCACTGGATTATTTTGTGTTGTTGGTGGCACATTTCTAAATAGCAACTGGAAGCAGCATGCTGTGCAGATCATCCCTGCAGGAGAGTTTTGGACAAAATAGTTTTGTCCAAGGTGGCCACAGCATATTTAGACTGTCAGACTTTGTTCCTAACAGAGTTACTTCCATTCATAAACAGGGTATATTTGGCATCTTTCCAGAGGTCC